GGTTACTGACTGGATCCCTCGGGACATCAAACGAACTCCAGGAAGGCCGCCAACGAGTTGGTCAGACTTCTTCACGAAAGCTCTGAACGAAAGGAATGTTGAACCTCGTGTCCCTGAAGCGAGGACGATTCACTGGACCACCCCGGCTCGTGACAGGGACGAATGGAGACGTTACTGGCGCCCGCTCGAGGAAGTCGATGATCAACGGGACGACAGGTGATACAGGTGATTATTAAAAAAACTTATTATTATCAATATTATTATTGATAGTCTCATGTTTAACCATCCTTGTTGCCAACGCATCAACATAAAGCTACAAAGAGGAGGAACTGGATACGTATTATATACATTGAGCTAGAAGAGCTTTACAGGAAGGACCATACTTCCTTCAAGGTCATCGCCGTGATTTCAACCCGAAGGTTAGCTTGGGATGAAAGGCTGTCGAGCCACACATTGAGATTCACGGAACGGAATGAACAAGGTGAAAGTTTACCCGAGTTCATAACGTCGACCCAGACAATCCGTGGTAATTCATTTTTCCAAGAGCTCATATTAATTAAATAGATCATATCATCCTCAATCGGAAGTTTTGCCTGGCTAGCGTCGCAGCTGTGCCAAAATCCTGCAGTAGAGTGGACTGCCGTAACTTTCGCGCTAGGTTCTGTGTTTCGGTGTGTGAAGAGAGGGCTGCGAAGTCAGGAAAAGGAAACTGCAAAACAGCCATCACTTGAAATTACTTTGTTAGCCTGCAAGTTGATGCGAGATTCCGTTATCGATGAATGAGGAGCATAACTCTTCGAACATCCTTGCGATAGTGATAAGAAAGTAGAGCCTACGAATCGTCAAGAGACTCTTCGAAGACACTTGAGGTGATTCGCCAGCATGGAATCGCGCGAGCTAGAGGCAGTAATCAAGTAATGGCATAGCTTGCGAAACAATGCTAGAGAGGCGATAAAGGAAGCCCTGAAAGAGATAACAGCAATAGTTATGGCTGAACAGGCTAATACCAAGGATACATCAGCAATCTCTTCGCCAATTCAGAAACCGTCGTGACTCTATTTCGACTTTATGGAGGAGCACTCCTTGCACCTCGATAAGCAATGGAGAGGATCATCTACAATGGCTGAATTCTGGTCGTGAAGTTGCTGCCAGACAAATGGCATGCTGTACTTTTGCGATACTTCAATGAGCTTTGAGACAGTGCGTACTCTACTCCTACTCGGATCTCTCCGACAGCCACATATACCTGCCTACCTACCATACTAGGCGAATGGATTTCGGCATCCATTTGCCTAGTATCGTAGGTAGGCAGGTAGACTCACTCCAGAAGACGAGATAGAAAGGAGGCGACAACCTGCAACAGCCCAAAAAAAAATTACGATAGCCATGCGAGCAAGTAGCGGAGAGAAGGATCAGTACAATCGATCACATCAGCGCTAAGCATGCCGTTTTGTCTGACAGCAACGACGACTTCACGACCAGAATTCAGCCATTTTGCACATAATAGGGGTCATTACCAGCTTAACAAGAAAGGTTCGACAGTGCAGTACCATATCGCGCAAGCTTCTCCGCGACGCTCTTGAAAACATCATGTGTTATTCTAAACGAGAATTTTCTGGATTGAAGGGCACGTCCGCAGTGGTTACATCATCCTTGACTTGCAAACGACATAATGCTTATATAGTACCAGAGAACATGGAGCAGGCTAAAGGCTGTTTTTGACAGCAAGCCGTTGCACTGTTATCACGGCCCCATGATCGCGTGGAACGATACAGTATAAGGAGAGAGCGAGAACGTGAGGGTTTTATTCTTCAATAGATCTTCTTCTCCGCCCTCTTCATTTGTTCTCTGCTATTTGAAGTGTTCACTTATCTCACCCACCAGGCGGCTGCGCACGCTATCGCGTACGCTAGGGGCTCTAGCCACGGGAGACGGAGCCACATGAGCTGATTTTCATTAAGGACCTTTATCGGAGTTTCCGCGCCTGCTACCCACCATAAGTGTTCCCATCCTGTCGCCTGAACTCTTACCGTATTTGAACTCTCTAGGTCCATGGGAACCGGTGTTATGAATTTTCGTATATAAATCTAAGAAGGGATGTGAGCTTCGAGGCACGCTCCGCCCATTGTGGGCGGGCTTCCGCTGACGTCATTAGTGCTGGAAACACCTTTGACAATGCTTCCCCTACATCAACTTTTTCCTGCTCTGTTGGCACAGACAGACAGACAGACAGACAGACAGACAGACAGACAGACAGACAGACAGACAGACAGACAGACGAAGCGCTTTATAGTGAGTAGGGTTCCCTGTACGTAACCGCGTTATTAACATTAGATAAACGTTTCTTATCTGATAGTTGATGCTCGAAGAACTCTCGAGTATAATGGTCGCATAAGAAGGATATCCGCGTGGCAGGCACAACTCGCGTACGTGTAAAGAGGACCTCCTCAGTTTTCATAGTGCTCCTGAGAGGTTGGGGACTGAACCTAACGAAGACCATGTTCATGAAAAACGGATTGATAGCTGTTCTCCCTTTACGACTGACGGAACGAATACCTCTACCCTCACCTGTGCGTACCTAGGTCGAGGAACTAATATGAAGAAGTACCTAGCTACGGAGCTGAGCAGGAGAAATCCCGCAGCGTGGGAAAAATTAGGAAACAAGGAGCACTCGGCACCGCGCTCACCTTCAAAACACTGCTATACTTCTTGCTTTAAAGTATGCTTCGGGAACTTGTATTATACAAAAGCAGGGTGTGCATGCAGTCAGCATAATTTAACGCGCTGTGGGAAGGACATTACGTAGCTTTTGAAGTACACGCAAGTGCAGAAGGATTTCCGGAGTCCCGAGCTCTTTCCACGAACGAAGATTCGTGCTTCTTTTGCCGAGACTCCGTGCTCTTCGCATTCACTCTTTGCATGATTATTTCAGCTTTTCCGCTTGAGGCTAGGTCGAGTTCCAATATTCAACCGCAACCTAATATCAGCATTTTTGCTTCCTCTCAATGACCTTGCTCGCACTGCTTCCTGAGTACGTGCAGCCCCTCTGCCGTAGAACATCGGAGGCCCACCACTGCGCTGTATAATTTTTACGTTGCGTCACCTGAAGCACCGCTGATGGCAGAGGATACTATTGGACTCTCCTCATCTTATCTAGCCGTGTTTATTTGAGACTTTAGAGTCTGATCCATGCCTGCATAAGCAGCCAGGTCAGTCCTTGGATGATGGGAATCCTGCACTTTCACGGTGGCTTTTCCAAACAATCTACGATTTGTCGTGCCCCTCATCCAAGCCAAACAGCTCTGTCATTTTCGAATCTATCGGAACACGTTCTCAGTACTTCATTTTCCCTAATGCCGACGCACCTCGTCCTCTGCTCAAACTGCGTTTACACCGGCCCTATGCTCGTTGAAGGAACAGTCCTTGATAGTTTCAAGGTATGCATATGGTTTTGAACTAGTTTTGGAAGCGATAGTCAAGAAGAGTGCTAAAATCGCAAAAATCGTGTGTTCAGAGAAATATAAGGCATTGAAAAGAAGCAAAATTTATTTATTTAACTATTTATTCATAATGTTGGGCATAAGGCCATTGCAAGAAAAGTGAAGTTAACAAGTCACGACTAAAGTTACAGACAGATCCTATATAAAGTAGTGCTCACTGAAACGCAGCAATTCCAACTTAGTAAGGCGGTTGAAAAATCGGAGGGCAGGAGACGTTATCACTATTGTAGCATTAAGAGACGTGGGTTCAGACCCTGCCCCACAAGTGAAGCTATGCCGCTTTACATTCGTTTTAGGCGCGGCATACGATATTTTTGTTGATCATCCTCTAGCTCTAGAGTTGATCATACCAGAGAATTTAGACGCGTCAATCTCAGCAATACCTGTCAGCAGCTTGAAGACCATCTTCTTCTTCTTCTTATTCTTTAGCGTTTGTCCCGCTTGTAGGCGGGGTCCGGTTTTCCGATATGTTGACGCCACTTCACCCGATTGATCGCTTGATCGGGGTGGATGTTAACCGCTTTAAGATCTTCGTGCAACGTATCGAGCCACCGCTGCTTTGGACGTCCTCTAGGCCGCTTTCCGGACACGTCAAGGCGGAGACCGATCTTACGGACACTGTCGATCTTTGCGCGAAGAGTATGACCATACCATCGTAGACGAGCTTCGCGCATTTTATCGACAATGGACGCTACACCGAATCGCTGCCTGACGGCGTCATTACTTATACGGTCTAAGCGTGTTACTCCGGCTGTCCAGCGCAGCATTTCGGTCTCCATCACACTAAGACGGGCTCCAACCTCTTTGGTTGCAGGCCAGCATTCAGCGCCGTAAATTGCGACCGGCCGGATGACGGTTCTGTGGATCTTGGATTTGAGGCGCTCAGGGGTGTTCTTATCGCAGAGTACGCCAGTCATTGAGCGCCACTTCAACCACGCTGCATTCACGCGAGAATTCGTTTCAAAACCCAGGCTACCGTCAAACGCAATTGCCGATCCAAGGTGCTTGATCGTTGTTGTCCGTGTGAGCTCAGTGCCACTGATTTTGATAGAGCCTGGCTCGCTCGAATCAGTGGTCAAGTACTCAGTCTTTTTGACGTTTAACCTGAGCCCGAACATAGCCAGACGGTCGGACCAGGTCTGCACCTGTGACTCGGGCTCGCTTTCATCTTCGCTGGCGAGCATCACGTCATCGGCATAAAGAAGCGTCCATGGAGCCGGCTTCTGGAGATCTTTTGTAATAGCATCCATGACGACAACAAAAAGTAGTGGGGATAACGCAGAGCCTTGGTGTACTCCAACGGAGATGGGAAATTCCGTCGATGTGCCCGCTGCCGTTTGCACTCGGCTCTTTGGGCTAGTGTAAAGGATGCGCACTCACTCAATGACCTCTTCGGGTACGCCATGCTGTCGTGAGGCATACCATATAACGTCATGTGGAACGCGGTCGAAAGCCTTCTCTAAGTATAGAAAGGCAAGATGTACCGGTCTTCGTTTCTCGCGATGCTTTTCTAGAGAAAGGCGAATGGCGTGTATGGCATCGATGATGCTGTAACCAGCTACAAAACCACATTGGTTAGTGTCCAGCTCGACGATATCACGGATACTACTGTCTACAACTCGCTCAGAGATTTTCATGCTGTGCGAGGGCAAGCGAATTGGACGGTAGCAGGTGCAGTCTCCAGGACTGCCCTTCTTTTTCCAGATAGGAATCGTCGTGCTCTGTTGCCAGCTCTCAGGCACCTTCTTCTCTGCAACGACCTGGTTGAAGAATTCCGTTAACCATCCAGCAGGATTCCAGCCTTTTAATTTTCACAAGTCCGCTGCTAAGTCGTCAGGACCAGTTGCTTTGCCTGATTTCATCTTCTTCAAAGCCGTAATGGTCTCATTCAGGTCATCTTCTGGACAGGACCGTATCCTGGCGGGGCGCAAGGGATGGCGGGATGAGCAAATTCGACTGTCGAGATGTTTTCGAAGTACTCTCGCCATCGTTTCAGTGTTTGCTTGCGGTCCGTCAAGAGGTGACCGTTCTCGTCATTTATGCCGAAGAACTTTTCAATATCCTCGGTCCGGCGATTGCGAGTCTTTGCGAGTCGGTAAACGTACCGCTCACCATCCCGAGACTCGAATTTCTTATTAAGATCGGCACAATGAGCTGCCTTCTCAGAAGCAACGACATTCTTCGCCTCTTTCTTCGCTATCTGATAGTGTTGCCACTTAACAGTCGTCTTTTCGATAAGGAAAGCGTGGTACTGTTTTTTCTTCCCACGGACTTTATCCCTGACATGGTCCGTCCACAGCCACATTTGCTTATCGAGCTTTCGCCATCCAGGCTTGATCGCGCCGAGCTTCGACCGCGCAACCCGGGTTATCGCTTTCGCAGCTCCCTTCCAAGTTTCGTCGACAGTCGTTACCGCTGGTAAGAGAATGCTGGAAGCGACGGCCGCTTCTTTCTCTTTCAGTCGCCACCACTTGATTCTTGTTGGCCTACTCCTTTCCGCTAATTTCGGTTTCAGCGGAGCGATCTTTAACGTACAAATCAGTGGTCGGTGTTGTGTTGCAACCGTTTCACTGTCTTCGTTTCTGTTACGAGCCACTGATCGCCTGACAAAGACAAAATCAATTTGTGATCTGTTCTCACCGCTATAGAAGGTGATGAGATGAGAGTCACGTTTGCGAAATCTAGTGTTTACAATGGCGAGATTATGCGAGTCTGCATATTCGAGAATTCGCTCGCCATCAGTGTTACGTGACCCATACCCGAAACCGCCATGGCAGCTATAACCGTCTTTCGTAGCGCCCACGTGACCGTTGAGGTCACATGCGACAACTATGGCTTCTTGTAACGGTACTTCAGCTGTCTTTTCATCAAGCAGGTTCCAGAACGTGTCCTTGGTTTGCTCGGAGCATCCAGTTTGTCAAGCATACGCTGAGAAGAGATGGTACTTTTTGCAATCGTTGACTACCACGGTCTTCATTAGGCGGTCATCGAAGCGTTCCACGCTCACTATCGAGTCACGAAACCGTTGAGAAACTATTATCCCGACGCCGTTGGTGGTTTTGGGACCACCACAAAGAACGGCTTTGAAGCCGAGGCCAATGTCACTGGACCTACAGCAGGACCACCTCGTTTCCTGCACTGCACAGAAATCAATTCTTCGACGCTTTAGAGCTTGTGCTAACTCGTACAAGCGTCCCGTTAACGTGCCAACATCTAACGCCGCAACGCGGGTCTTCCATACGTTGCGTGGCTTTCGGACTAGCTTAGTTGCCCCCCGATGCCGTCCTTGCACCGGAGATCCTTGCATACTTTTCACACTCACCGGGCCTTGCGAGTCCAGCGGACGCCGTAGCATTACATCGAAATTCCTTACGTGACATTAACATTTTTGGTGTGACTGGGGTGTTCGTGCCCCGGCCTGTCGCCTGCATTCGAATGTCCGTGGTCAGCTTAGCTCATAGAGTGGGCAGTTTCCAGTGGCACCCCTTGGAGGAACGGACTTCGCCACCCAGCAGCTTGAAGACCATACATACATCAAAATATTTTTTGCGAGAACAAAGAGTGGGCAATTTGTACTCTTTATTCCTACAAGACACATAAGGTGGCCTTGAATGACTGTGCCCTCCAGTGAGTAAAGTATAACAAATTCGAAATAGTGGAGCTTGTTGAATAATGTGAAAAACGTAACAAAGTGGCAATAAATAAAATGAAGTGAAAGATGGCTCGTTTCGCCTCTTCACCAGACGAACCCTCATTTCCTCAATCCCCTGAGGCTCGTCAGTTGTTTGGGATCAGTGGACAAAGGAATGGGAAAAATGCATTGTTCATTACAGTTAAAACAACGTACACATATAAAAAATAAGTTATACTGTTGATGATTATTGGAAAATTTTCATAATTCCTCAAACCAATTTGATGATATCCTTGAGATTATCCTTGATAGAATACTTGTAACAAATAAGTTTATTTCTATATATATGTACATCTGACTATATTATTAATTATAAACTCTTTATTATACCCATTTCCCGATAGGATGTCCATCAGTTCCTCTAGCTTTTTGTTGAACATTCCAATCCTAGAACATGTGTTGGCAATTCTCAATGATTCCGTACATGTCACTCATGCTATGTTAGAAATAGAAACATCAGTATCACTATGAGGAAACCTGATAACACTGAATCTGTAATCATCAGTTTCATTATATGGTTGCTACTCACTCTACCATTGTTTATATAATATTAATACTCAAGTCTGAATAGCTGCTATTTCTTTTATCCAAGAAAGTAAGTCGTTAATCTTATGGCATCTGTAGTTTTTTCGATTTCTGTGCTATCTGTATAGAAAACATGGAAGCCGTTGGAGGCTATCATTAATTTGTTAGCATTTTTTAAGCAAATAATAAAAAGTTTCGTTATATTACTTATAATCAAATTGTGATTTAAGTTTGTAAACATATCAGTAAAGTCGGCAGTATATTATTTAAAATTACACTGGTGTGCAAAACTTAGGGACGAAAGCAACTTTCGATCACTGAACCTCTGCCAGACGACAGAGCTCGATGAAATTTATACCATACAAAGGGAGGACCATTACGGTATTACACAGGAAGTAACTGGCAGAAAATCGAAATAGGGCTAGCAAATAAGGCATTTTTATCGAAAGGTACCGATTACACATAATTCCTCACAACTTATCCTAGTACTTCAAAAAAGCGACGCGGTTCCGAATAGGGTATGTGTTCACCACGGACAGCAGTAAATGCTCTGCAACGCGATCCCATACTTTCCATGAGGTTGGAAATGAGTTATTGTGGTAGGGCATCCCATTCCTCTACCAGCGCAATTGACAATTGCGGGATGGTCAGTGGTGCATTTAGACGCGCTGTAATGCCTCTACCAAACGATCCTACACGTGCTTCATGGTATTCAGGTAGAGGGGACGGACAGGTCACTCCATTCACTGGATAACCTCCTGTATAAAGAGCTCTTCCACCTGAGATGTTCGATGCGGTCGCGCATTGTTATCGATAAAAATGAATTCAAGGCTCACTGCAGTCCTGAAAAGATACACTTTAGGGAGGGGCTCCTCTTCACAGTGACGCCGACTGTTAAGGGTGCCACGCTCAAAAATCTAAAGGTTAGTACGGTTGCGAAGCATGATGCCTCCCCATACCATAACACCTCGATCACCAGAACGATCAAGTTCCACAACGTTTCTGAGAGAAATGCGCGTCCCCAGCTCTGGCCATGAGGGTGCGTCCAGAATCACTGCTCAGACTGAATCTGGTCCCATCCGGAAAAGCAAACGGCCTCATTTCTCGTCGGTCCGTTAGCTATGCTCCTGGCACCACCCTAAACCGTCTCGCCATTTCGCGAGGGTCAAAAGAATCCTACGTAGTGGTCGTCGGGCGAAGAGACCGCCAGACGACCAGACTGGGATGACTTGCTCTGAAATCCTGTCAAATGACATTGCAATCAAAGAAGCTGACTGACGTGGATCTCTTCTTGCCTACTGCACAATGTAGCGGTCCTACCTTAGAGTAGTTGTTCGTGGTCGACCACCTTCTCTCCTTCGTGCAGCAGTATAAGAGGTTCGGAATGCTCCCCGTGAAACAACGCTGTGAGCGATATCAGGTTCCTGAGCTGCGCTCGTCATGCTTCGACCTTTTTCGAGTTTTTCGATGATCCTTCCTCGTGCCAAGTCATCCAGACGATGACTGCGGGACATGATGTATAGAAGGATAACACCACAGTACTTGGTAGCTGCTGGCTGATTTTCAAGAAAATTTGTTTCGGACCTATCAGCGGCTTCGATTTGTGCGGGTAGCCATAATTGTCGCTTTATTTAAACTATTCCTTCACCAAGGGATGTCCAACTTCCTGTGCATAACCAAAATAGGTCTAGCAATATAATCTCACACTTTCATTTATTTCCACCCAGTCCTCAATGTTTTATGTTACATTATCCATCTCGTCCCTAAGTTTTGCACACCAGTGTATTATGGGTAATGGAACTGAGTTCATATCTAATATTAATATTACTTATGGTCCAATATGTTTTCACTGTTCTGTTTCTGTTCTATACTACATTAATGCATTAACAAAGTGTTTCCTCAGAAACTTAAAGATAATATGTAATTCTTGAGCTAAAGGTTCGATACCACTGTTATGGGCACCCGTTATGAATCTGAATTTGACTGGATTTTTGTGTAACCTAGGGAGCGCATATGTAATCGGTAAATCCGCCTTCAGAGTTACATTGAGATTATTACAGATGCAAAGAAGTTTGTCTTTTAATATCAATGAGTACTCATTATTACACTGCATGAATTTATACGTATTCCTAGAATTCTTATAGGTATATGTAATACCAAGCGCATTATAGTTGTTTCTCATTTCTTTCATTACGATGCTCAAATAAAATTTTTTACAGACTATACAGTAATTATTTCCCGCTTTATCCAATGGACAAAAGACATACTTGTTCTGATACTGTCCAACTACATAACAAGGAAAACATTCCCCATATTATAATAATACTTATGCTAGATTTAGTTAGCAGTGTTTTAAGTTTTTATGATAGCAAGAATATGAAGCTTTTTAAGTAGGCCTATCTGATATGCGTTTAATTTATGGCTATTTTTGAGGAACGAAATAACTTCAAACATAGTATCCATGTGAATGTTTTTTACTTCACGTCTTGTGATATCACCGTCCGACCTATATTTTGTTCCTCTTTCCAATAAGGATCTTAAACCTCTTTCTCTTATTAGACTTAAATCCCCTGTTATAACATGTTCATTAACAGACTGATCAGGTTGTAACAAAGGATATGAACATAACAGATCTGATGTATATTTACGGGTGGAATTGTTTTGAATTTTTTCAATTGGCTGAATTTCCTTCTTTTTATAAGGGCAACATACTGATGTTCACACTCCACAATTGGCCCAATGTAATGTAAAATTACGGAATGGCCGAAAACGTGTGGCGACAGAAGTTGCATGGAAGTGGTTTCTGGACGAGCTAAAATGTGCGCGCCATTGCATACAGCTGGCTGCATAGGGGGACGTGCGGTTCACGCGTGACCCCATAAGAGCTCCTCGCTCACGCAGCACGCGACGCACCACGCGGTAGGTTACGTATGTGTTTCGATGCGATCGCTTCAGTATCATTCAGTTGAGATGGACCAAACGAATTGTGTGCTATTCCATGGCTTTACCATGAAGTAGTGCAAATTTCTTAACTATGACAATGAAGTCTGTTTGAGATCGAGACTTTAATTCATAGCTCAACGAAATTCTTGCCAATGTTCAAATTAATAGTAACGGAAATGTTTCGATTCCCATAGACGCAATACTTCTGTCAACGTGCATAGTTGATCATTTTTCACTTATCATTTATAAATTCCCATTTATCCCATTACGATGGGCATATTATTACAGCCCGCCCAAGGCACAGCGTCGACAAAGGCCCCGCCCTTCACGCGAGATGACCTCATTACATTGACCCCTGAATCGCACAACACCCGGCTGCATAAGCAGCGTGCAAGGTGTGGGGCCCGGTGCGAATGGTGCTACTGCAACTTACAGCTTTGACGAGGCTTAAGAACTCTTCACCTGTATCACATGTCGTCCCTTCGATCATCGACTTCCTCGAGCGAGCGCAAGTAACGTCTCTATTCGTCCCTCTTACGAGCCAGCGTAGACCAGTGAATCGCATCAGGGACACGAGGCCAGCATTCCTTCCATTCAGGGCTTTCGCGAAGAAGTTTGACCATCTCGTTGACGGGCGTACTGGAGTTCGTTTGATGTCCCGAGGGATCCGCCCTGGTCCAACGGTCATCACTATATCGCATAACGTGCCTGGCCCACCTGATCTTTGATTTCTTGGCGTAATCAACGGCATCCCCTTTTTCATAAGAACTCTTAAGGCTAAAAACTTGTTTGCCTTGAGTGTGGACGCCCGCTGAGCCGGTTTTGCGGCTCCTATGACGCCCTAAGTGGGCCTTTTTTTTTGACTCGACTTTGAGTCGTCCCGGACTATTTAGTATTTTGTATCACAGTTTCATCCAAGATAGAAGTCTCAATAACCATTTCAGTGTAAAATGTGCCTTTTAGAACTTTTATCGCAAAGAATTTTTTATGCTCACGAGCTCACCGAGGTAGTCTTCCGACCTGCACTGAACCTGGGCAGACTTCCTCAGAATAGTGCCTTCGCTGTTCTTCACTATCCTCACAACTCCAATGACTTGATTAGCCTGATACCGAGCGATTTAAATCTGGAAGACAAAATTCTATACTTCTTGGCCGTCGAGCCTCTCGTATAAGGCGTTCATTTTTGTATTCTCTGCCTTCGCCACTTACGTCTTAGCAGCTTCTTGCCTTTTTGTAGGCAGCTGGACTTTTGGAGCTCAGGTCTCCTGCTATCGCTTGTATTTGGCTTTTTCTGCTTCGCAACTCACTGGACTTCATCATTTAGAACCATGTTGCGTTGTCTACTCCGAATCCCTCCTCCATAGATTTTCTTGCACTCTTGAGGCGTCACTCCGTGTCTGCTTCCTCGAATATCTTGATTGTTATGTCCACTAGAAGAGTCTGTTCTGTGTAGCTACAACTTCGTTAGGTGGTTCCTTGATATACTTAGGTGTTTTGAGGACAGTCTTCTTATTAAAATATGGTTGAATTAAATTCGTCTGAAAGGCGGGTTACCTTCAAAGCCTTCCTTTTTGTGGAGGTGCTACAGGCTTTTGTGAAAGTACTACAGGCTGCTAGGTCGTAAACTACAGTCAGGTCCCTCTCTTCTCCTTTGTTTCTGAACCCCTAGTCCTTTTGCCCGTAAACACGTTCTGGGCCTCTCTATTTATTGCCAACATGGCCATTTGGATCACCCATGAATGCAACAATGCTCGTTCGTAAGTGATCGGATGGCAACACAAACAAAGTCTTTTCATGGTTTCTACGTTTTCGAAACTTCTAGAAATCCAACTCGGAAAACTTTTCGGCCTAGATTGTTCACTCCTCGAAAGCATACTGTCCGCAGAATTCGGACTAACTTGGCCGAGTGACGACCTAGCTTTATTACTAGTTCTCTTGGGAAATTTGGAATCGTTGCATCATCGGCCATGCTTTATTTCGCTCATAGATAAATGTAATATCGGCTGTCTGATTTCGTTATTTTGGAGCTTGAGAAAGGTCAAAACAGCTACTATCTAGGCAACAAGTACCAGGTCGATGCATAATTATTGCGGATATTTTCTCAGCTTCCTTTCTATCGATACAATTTGAATGTTGAATTCAGGCTACGATAGGAACACTCTTCTCGCTTTCCTTAACAGAAATGGGTCTAGAAATCATCTTCATATTCACCGCATTCCTTCAGAAACTCCTGTGAATTATCACGTCACTTGTTTGTAGAAAGATTGACTAGCGAACAGAACTTACGACAGAGTGGATGGCTTCATGGCCGATGTCAAGGCGCTAATCGCTTCCAAGAATCGAAAAACTTCCGTCTGTGGAGTCCCACTTCCTAGCGATGGGAAGCAGGACTTGACGTAGATGGTGGATACGTTCCGGACTAATTATTTGAACATGTCTTTGTTAAGTAATATCCTTTTTTGGATAGAATTTGTTGAAAGGAATCCACTGTAATTATGCATCAACATACTATTAGGTATAACTCCTGAGAAGTATTAGGGAAGAGAATTCAGTCTACGTTGCGGTGTGAATGTGTCGCTTTTATTTTCAAGTGGAAGTCGTATGAGCTATTCTGTTGTCTAGTTGCAGTGGTTAATTCTAAATCATAGTGTACGCTGCTGCGACGGCGATTATTGCCCACATCGGTTGACACAGATATCAGCATGTTTATTCGTCCCAGCATCCTACGCGAAAATGGGCGACGGCCAGTTCTTGACCAGCAACTGATAGCATTGAACTCCTAACCCTTGCAGCCACTGCTTAACTTCATACCGGTATTATCTTTCGTTCCAATTATCCTCTTGGTGGTATGAAAAACTTTTTCAGCGCCTTGAGACAGAGCAAAGGAACTTAAACGGTCCACTTCCAAGATTGAATTCTTGGGCATTTCTTCTCTCTTATTTCTCGTCCTTCCTTTCGAGTTTCCTTGGAAGACAGACGGTCAGTAATGGTTGTAATGTTCGCCTCAGTAACATGACGAACACATCCTCCCTCGACAAAAAGTTCTTTCTTATCAACTGACTCATACGACGAAAAGAAATATGGTGATTACGCTTCCGAGCGGAAAGAAGAGCAAGATAGTATCACTGAAAGACCTTTTCTGAGCGGAACGCAATGCTGTGTATACTTTCGAATTTTCACCTTTAAATCTGAGGGTTCTGGTACACTTTCTGTAGAAAGTATTCTCGAAATTATTGAAAATCGATTTTTGCTTGAAATTCAAAGTGAGGAAAGATGAATTCCCGCGGAAAATTGCTCCGCTCGTATTTCCCATGACAGCACTCCTTCGAATTATTCAGGTTGAGTGTTCAGAGAGTCTTTTTTGGAAAATTCTGTGGGTCTTGCAGACCGTCACAAAGCTTCTAGCAGTTGCTCGAACTCACTGCGGAGAACTCTATCGAAAATTCTAAAATATATTTTAATACAGCTCCTGGTTTGATTCATAAGATGTTCCACTACCCTAGAATGCTCAAGCATCCTTGACATGTGCTGAACGCGTTCAGTTTTCGGCGATTATAGATCTGTCTCGAATGGGTGCTTCAATAGCTCCTTCTTTCTTTCGCGTACGTATGTTTGGATGCTCTGAATTATCAACACGAACATCCTCGATCACCGGTTCTAGACCGGTTCAGCCCTTTTTTTTTGTACCATTATTCACTGTTTCTTCAATCAGAAGAGGTTTTGACCAATCTCGTAAGTGATCGCCTGTGAGTTTTTACATTGTGAAACGAATAGCTACGACAATCGCTTTTCATGTCTACGCCATTCGGAGTATTTTGTCATACTCCAAGCAATTTAGCTATGTTGCGCGCTGGACGCATTGCACTAAGATCCTTTCGTCCAATTACCACAGAAAAACTAGCAAACAATCAGGTTTTTTCGATTAGTTTTATTTTGTAAAAACAAAAAGTTCGTAAAAACGAAAAGATAAGTCGTTTTTGTTCAGATACCGCTGAGTCGAAGAGCATCCTCCATGATCTTTCCAGAAGCTCGAGCTGTCGACCCTATAGCATCAGTTGGAATTGTTCCCATTGGTGACTCAAATGGCAATTTCAGGTGCTTAAGTACTTTCACCATCCATCTTTATCTTCGTTTGAAGGAGATTGATTTCGTAAACCAACGATCCCATTAGATTCCATGACTAAGTCACCCCTGCTCCCATGTAGTGTTCGACGTTCCAGAGCTCTAAAAGTTATTGTGGCTGTGAAGCTTACTTTTCAGCACCAAGTCTCGAAAACAACATCTGCTGATTAATACGAGAGCTGAGTTGAACAAGGCCCAACGAATCGTCGTGAAACTTGGCAGTGCAGTAATTACCAGGGAGGATGAATGTGGCCTGGCTCTTGGCAGACTGGCATCGGTCGTAGAACAGGTCATATTTACTTTTTAGAACATTGATTTAATCTCATAACTTGCGATCTCAATTTGAAAACTATTTGGAAGCACCCACGCGGTATACAATGAGCAAACAACACAAGGATAAGGGATTGAGCCTTTGGCTTGGGTCAATCCCGTTTTGGGATGTGTCCCCACATTCGACTTCCATTCAGAATAGTAAATAGTAATGCATGCGCATGTGTCCTATGCAATGACTTGCGGTGGCCATCCGATGCAAATGTCAGTGTTTCAATCCTCCCATGTGAGTTCGCTTGCCACGACACCACCTTTGCAGCTGGCAAGATACATGAAAAAAAGTATCATTCGAAATGTAGAACTTACTCCTATGGTAAGACGCATGCGGATTCCGGGATGGAAAGAACTATTTCTAACCCTGATATGCTCATTTCTAAATGTTCCATATCTTATAGTGATGACGCTCTGGTTGGAAATGAGGAGAACAAGAAAAACTTATAAAGCATACCTGAAACCTACCCTTCAGTAGGTGTTCACATGTGTTTTGACAGTGCCTTTCCAAGTTAAATCGATGGAAGAGGAAAGGAAAGAGACACTCAGAACTCGTTTAGGTCTTGGAAATTTCCGAGATTGATTTTTTAGCCAACTTGAAGTTATGTTACAAATAAAAGTCGGGAAGGGTTCTGAGACAGAATTACAACTATTTTCCAGGATCGGGTGCACAACCTGAATTTCTGATGTGATAGTGAAGTTTCTTTGCACCTCCTCTGTTTCTTTGTGAGTACGTGCGATTCTATGTGTAGCCGAAATAATGAGGTCACGCCGCACAACTTGGCGCACAACGTATAGTGTTCTTGAAGCCAGTTTCCAATTGAACAATTTCTTTCAATGTAAAATTTGTAATATATAAGAGTACTTGATGTTCTTCATGTCAATTGCAGTCATATATGGTTTGAGCAGTAAACAGAAAGTTTGAGTAATAAAAGCGCAAGAAATATGTCTGAAAAATAAGCTTGCATACGAGCTGATGAGTTAAAAGAAAGATGCAACCTAAGAAGGAAAACCTAGCCTCCCTCTTGGAGTCCCACTACGGTCGTGTTGTTACGTGCTCACAAAAGAAAAGAAGAAAGAAGGTGTAAATCTCAATCGCAATGGGTCGCGGGCCACGAGTGCTACATGGCCCTGCAGTCTCAGCGACAGAATCATAGTACGCCCTCTGTAAGGTGACTTTCCATAACTATTCGGACGTTGATCTCTCGAAGACACATATTCAGCTAAGCTAATATCGTTTCTCTTAATTGGAAATTTTATTACAATTACGTACTCCAGAACAATAATTTGTAATATAATCAGAGTTTTGTCAGTATAACGTGTGCGGAGCGGAACTAACAGTATTCGCATTCATAAAGGATGAAAGGGGGGACAGTGGAGTAAAGCAAAAGGGGAAGCAAAAGCGAAACGTCCAAGTGGTGGGAGGGGTGTAGGTTCACAAGGCAATGGTGACGTCATATGCTGAGGTGGAGCGGCTAAATTAAGAAGGACAGGCAGGAAGTAGAAGAAGCAAGTAGAGGCGCTGGCGTTGCGTTGGATCAACTGTAGGAGTTTTCGCAGAATTTGCAGAAATACACATCTGCCATCATACTCTCATGATGACTATCTCTGCCGATTTGTTTGTCCTGAAAAATGTGCGTGTTCCTTAATGTAATGGTTGCTGCTTGCCTCGCTTTCAAACTAAATAAGTACAACCATGCGAGTAAGCAAAGTTCCTGAGAGTTTCGGTACAATCGTTCACATCCATATTGCCTCAAGGCTCATCGAAGTATCGCGAGAATACAAGATGCCGTTACGTTTTAACATTCATCAATCTGAAGACGAGGGCGGAGGTAGTGTAGGGTCAAGTGACGCCCTTCACACACCCATGGTCACGGGTTCGAATTCTGGACCGCTATTCGCCTAAGCCAACCAAGCCTTCCATCCCTCCGGGGTCGATTAATTGGTACCAGACTTGTCTGGGAGGATAAAAGCACTGACTTGTACATCGGCTGGCCACCGCAAGTCATTGTATAGGCCACATACGCGTTCAATACGCCACTACGATTCTGAATGGAAGCCAAATGTGTGGGTCCATCTCTCAGGGAAGGACACTTGGTCGCTGTGGCCATTTAAGATGGGATGTACACCACGGTCGGTGGTTTCAAACGCTGATCTCAAATCTGTGTTCACAATTTGCTAAACGATTCCGGGAACAAAGTTACGGGACCGATGCCTCCCTGTGTTGTACCACTGTACAGAACGGATCACCGAACCGAACAAGGACGTAATTGTGTAACGTTGGCTCAGCTGATAGGACGGTGATTGGCAAGAATGGCATCACGGTTCGATTCCTTGATGCATGAGCTCGCTTTGCTTCCCATGAGACGCGTCCTTAACGCTTGCAAAACGTTTTTAGGCTCTATTTTGGGCATCTACAGGGCTCTCTCACAATTTAGGAATACTGAAAAGTATTACAAGGAAAGTTTTTTTGCCCTTCACCGGCCGAATAGTGGTTTGGCTCCATTCAAGCAAAAGGAAATTCCAAACATTTGCTCAAAATGGGCTCAAGAGGCTTCAAGGAGAAAGGATCCAAATGATTTGTCTGATCAAACGCTCTTGGACATGTTACCTGCGAATCTTCTGGCCGGATGTGGTGTCATCGTATTTGATGGAGGACATATGTACGTTCTTGCAGCATTATGTGGGCACCATTTAGGGAGAGGCGGTAATGAAAACCTTTCGAACCGTACTTACCGATGCTATGAAAACAAAGCCCGTAGTTCCTTCCGAGGAAATCGAGTCCGTGAAACGCGATCACAATGATCCTCTGCGGTCACCTGATGACAACAGCGACGATAGACCCGTAAGAATCTCAGTACGTTTGTGGGGATATACACGTTCGGAAGTGTAACGTAGCCTTCGAGTTTGTGATCTGGCCAATGAGCTCCAATTTTGTGGCGCTAGTAGAAGAGTCCAGAGCCTTCTTAGTTCGAGTGTCAAAAGAAGCCGTACCTCTTGGAACATGAGAACACTTGTGTATCATCACGACAGAGTGCCTTCTACGGGAATTGAAAGAGCATGAGCTTTCGCTTAGTCCATTATTGACAACTCATGGTGTCTTATGTGGCCACAACTATCAAGTGCAAAACAAGTTGGAAGGTTAAGTCATCATAAAGTTATTATAATATAGGAGTCTCATTGCATG